CTGAATCAAATATCGTAAATATTCTTACAAATCAAGGAACAGAGATTGTTAAATTATCTGAAGATAAAATGGGTCATCTTAACGAAATGTTAAAGAAGACAACACAATATTCCAATTCTATCAATACAATCACTCCAAAATTAGTCTGTAATTCGCTTAAGATAAATCCAAATATACTGGACTCTACAAACGAAAAATCGCATGAAACGGCATTTCAATTGTTAACTTTCATTATTGACAGCTTTAGTCAAAAGCCTACAACAAACACCCCACTTTTTAGATCTCTGTATCAAAATCCACATTATAAACAACTTCTTGGAATACGACTATTACCACTTTGCGATAAATCTATAGGAACTTTTGGTTCGCAAACGTATTACATGGCGAAACCAGAAATACGGGTGTTATTTCCTAAAGTACAAGGAAAATTTGTTGCCGATCTACCATTAAATCTTCGAGGGATTTTTAAGGATGAAGAATTTTGTAATGTGCTTAAAATTAAACAGTTAGATGCAAATTCCGTTATCGATTTACTAGAATCTGTGCTACCACGTGATAAAGAAGTCGATTGGGATCCTTTAGGAAAACAATATCCAAATAAATTTTGGATTGATAAAATAATAGCAATTTTCACAGCACCAGAAGTAAATTACGATTTTAATAAATTGGCAAGGTTTCCAATATTGTCAATAACCAAGCCTTATAGAAAACTCGTTTTACCTGACTTAAATAATCCTTTATTGATATATGTGTCTCACCCAATGGTATCAATACTTACAAAGTTTGGCGTTAGATATACAGATATGAAAATATCCGATAACTATAATATATATATTGGAAAATGTATTGCGCAGCCAACTGCGATAAATATGATTGTAGCTCTTGAGAAGGCTATTCAAAAATCTTCAGGGTCATTACAGCAAATCTTTACTGAAAAACTCACCCAGGACGATCTTGAAAAGTTTAGAACATTTATTAAAGATGAGTTTAAACATAATAAAAGTAAGCATTAGAATTACATTTCTTTAATTAATACTTTACTTGTCTAATTTTATCACTTTAATTATAGATGAAAATTTGAAAAAATTTGTAAAAAGATGGCCTATATGGCCTACTCAGTCACGTAGTACTTGTATATCTGCTCAAGAAGGGATCTTACCTCCAAGAGATATTCCTTTTTTTTCAATTCAGGAAGAAACAAATATTTTTCTTGTGGAGTCTGATTCAGATTTTAATACATTGTTTCATCTTGGCGCTAAATACGTAGAACCTGTAGAATATATTAAAGTGCATTTGAATCCACGAACAGTAACACCAGATCAACAATATATAACCTTTTTGAAAACAGTTCTTGCTTTAGGAAAAGTAGAAATTGAACATTACTTATCACCACTTAAAATCATTGCAAATTATGATCTTGAACTTGTCAAAGCTAATACTTTATATGATTTAAATGAATCTCTTTTTCGTAGAATCTTTTGGAATACTGGTAAACTTTTACATCCTGATTTACAAGGAAATGCTTATTGTTTAAGTGCTTTAAAGAGAATGGGATTAAAACACCAAGTAACACCTGTTACATTTCTTGAGTGTGTTCATGAGGTCGATTCAAGAATTAGAAGGATTCAATTGGAACAATCAAATAGTCAAATTCATTTAATAAAATCAGATGCTAGATTTTTAATGGAATATTTATATGAACATTGGACAGTTTTACTTTTCTCACCTGAACAATGGCAAGAGTTAATATCTATTAAATTCGTACCGGTAGACACGGATTTGGAAAGTCCATTAAAAGAGAATGCAGTTGAAACAACTGGTTTTGACTCGATAAATTCAATGTGTTATCAAGAATATAAACTTCTCTGTTGGACACAATGTCCATTATTTTTAAGATCTATAGATCCACCAAATTTATTTAAACTTAGATATCCTGAATTATGTCGTCCTTCGATGAGTAAAATTCTTGATAATTTATGTTATGTCGCCCTAGACATATCTCATTCGAATAAAGATTCTTCATGGAGATCACCAAAAGGAGTTCAATTAATTATGGATGTTTTAAAGGAAACGTATAAGAATTTAAATGAACATTTGAATGTTAATGGAAGTTTTGATAACGAAACGAGGTCACGCTTACAAACAGATGCAAAAATATTTTTGAATGGTAATGATCCTTTTATCCCTGAAGATTGGGTAGCAGGAGTAAATCTTGTATTCGGTACTCAAGAAGACATTAGGACTGGATTACATAAGGTCCATGATAACTTGAAAGAATTTAAGTTATTATTGAAAGAATCCGGTGCTAGAGAAATTAAAGATATTAAATTCAATGTAAAAACTCAACATTATTCGCAGAAAGATAAGTTATTTGGTAGACTTTTAGATAGCTTTGAAAAGCAAGAAGGAACAAAACATCATGACGTTGAGTTTCATATTCATCATGAAAATGAAATTGAAAAAATCCAAGCTAATCGATACGTTCTTTCAGGTATTTGTTTAAAATTTCTTTTACATATATATAATTATTTGTTATTTTATTATTTATTAAATCTCTATAAATTTAAAGCTGCTTCGAAACATT